GGCAGCTTTGTTCACCATTCATTCACTCAGTTCGTACTATGAGGCGACTTTAACATTAAAGTAATATTGTTATGTCAAATTTAGCAATCTTAGAATAGTTACACGGATGCAATGGAAACAATATTATTTTCGAATTTATTGTCTAATTATTGATTTGTAATGATTAAAAGTTAAGTTGAACTTATTTATTTACATATATCTCTTCAATATTCTGTTTATTTTTTTATTTAATAGTACATACGAAATAATTTCTCGTTAAATAAAAGTACGCGATGTTTATTACGTAGAATTATGACAGCGCCATCTATCTATCCTTGGCCACACTAACAGTTGACACTAGACTATAATTCCGAATTCATAACGTGACAATCAAGACTCAGCTTGTTTTATTTATTTTTCTTCATGAAAATGCAGAAAAATAATTGAAAAACAATTTTTTTCTTTTTTTATAACATCAAGTGACGGGACGAACAAATCGTGCACCTGATGGTAAGCTACACGCCTGTCCTTAACAATTACAGTGCCACTCAGAGCTTTAAATTGCAAAGATCTGAGGGGCACTACCACTGCGCCCGTCACTCTGAGACATAAGTTGATAAGTCCCATGTGACTGTAATTTCACGTAATTTTAATAGATTTCATTATTTACACACTTTTCTTTTTTGGCATTTAAAATTCTCTGAATGTAAATAATATTAAGTACTTTAAATTATACTACGATGGGACGATTCGGAACATCAAAAAAGAAAGAGATGGCATTATACAGTCTATATAGCGTTATTTCTTTCCTATTTTTAGTAATGAATAGACGATATAGGGAAATCATTCGTTCTTTCCATTGACTTACAATTATATGGACGTCGGGTCCGCGCTAAAAAGTGTCCGAACTTATAGGGCGTTAAAATCGTATACAGAGCGTCATTCACGCTTTAGTCTTCGTTTGTTCGACTGACAGCGAAGCAAGCAAAATTAGACAGTACTGCGATGACATTACAATTTAAATTCAACGTTTTAGCTTTTTCATATTCCTTTACATGTCACTACGTTTAAATAGGTTGACTTGGGACATTTTTTTCGTGGTTTTTGTATTAGACCTGTCGTCCATTTATTTGTAAGTCAATGGTTCTTTCAGTCAATTTAACAATAAAACATTACTTGGTTGATAGGTTTGTCATGGTACGAATATGAGTAATATTATAATAAGCTTAAAAAGCTTACATTGAAATAAGATTGTTTTTTGAAAGGTTATGGAAGGCCCGAGATCGACTGCACTGATTTTAATGCAAATGAGCGTTTACTCCGCATAACCGTCTGTCCGTATTGAAAAGACGACTGTACCGTCTCTAATTTAATGGGCCCCGTCGCTTCAGATTAATGTCTTAGTCATGGCATGGACCAGTAATTCGAGAGGACTGCTAAACGCGGTACAAGACAATGTAGTCGGGTATTTAGTAGGTACCTTTTGGTAACAAGATGGAGTTATGAAGGCATCTAGCTGAGTTAAAAAAACTTTTATATTAAATTGATATTCAATTATTTTTTGTAAAATTGCTCCTAAATAGTTTGTTATAAACACGAAGAAACATTATTTCGATCCGGCCATTGACTTACAAATAAATGGACGGCGGGTCTAATACAAAAACCACGAAAAAAATGTCCCAAGTCAACCTATTTAAACATAGTGACATGTAAAGGAATATGAAAAAGCTAAAACGTTGAATTTAAATTGTAATGTCATCGCAGTACTGTCTAATTTTGCTTGCTTCGCTGTCAGAAGAAACAAACGAAGACTAAAGCGTGAATGACGCTCTGTATACGATTTTAACGCCCTATAATTTCGGACACTTTTTAGCGCGGACCCGACGTCCATATAATTGTATGTCAATGGATCCGGCAGTCAAAATGAAATAATCCTTATTTCATAGGTAAGCAAATTACACTTGAAATCTGATTAAACTCTACTACTCATTCGTAAGGCAATAAGAAACTCTAGGGGTTGCTGTTTGTAGGTAAAGATACATTTGAATACATTTATCATTATAATATTTAATTTAAACATCTCTACGTCTACATCTCTCATCTACATCGAGATTTCCTGCAAGAGTTAAACGGCTCACTACCACGGATTTTTATCATCCCAGTTCGCAGAAGTCCACCAGCCACCAGCGCCTTCAGCCAAGGTGAGCTGACACTCTTACAAATGTTCCATTTGAGCTACAGAACGAACAAACAGCCCTTACGTATTTTTCCATGTGCTAGTTGTTGACCTTTGTTTTTGGTTTTTAATATTTTTTTTCCGTAGCGCCATCTGTGAGAAATCTATAAAAGTTTGTTATAATTATTAATACAAAGATCGAACACAGAAAAAGCTCCTTCGAATTAATTATAAAATTTTCCTTCTTAATGTTCAATCTAATTAACAAAATAAATAATCAAACATTAAATTATACATTTCAAGGTCAATTAATAATTCTGTTCAATGTCATATGTATATATTTTTAAATAATATCAAATGACGGGAGGAGCTAGTGCTGCGCCTTAAGCTACGCGCCTGTCCATTACAGTTGCAATGCCATTTAGAGCATTAAATCGCAAAGATCTGAAGGGCTCTGCCACTGCGCCCGTCACCCTGAGACAGAAGTTGACAAATCCCATGTGCCTGTAATTTCACCAGCACCCTTCAAAAACAAAAAAATATATAAATTATAATTCACACTATATTTCGAGTTCTTAGGTTTTCGCGATTGTTACACATAGGAAATGAAAGTAATTTGTAACCACGTCAAAGAACATATAGCTGACGTCAAACACCGTCGCGTAAACAAGTCTGCAGTCTGCGAGCACGTCATGGATAAACCTACACATTCAATGAAGGTTGACAAACCCCAGGTCCTTGCAAAAGAAGTCCGTTATCTACCCAGGATGCTGCGAGAGGCCATTGAAATTAAAAACATCCTGATTTCAACAGGGAAGATGGTTTCTCCGTACCACCAGTTTGGGATCCAGTATTTCCTCTAATGAAAAATCCCAAACAGACATAAGACTGCAGTACTAATTAATATGTTTTAGTTTATTCTAATTTCTATTAATAATTAATAAAAAATTGAACCTAATAAAATTCATTCAATGAAATAATTTGTAAAACTTAATGCAGCGTAAATTGGAATGTTTTCTTTGTAAATTTAAAAATAAGGTATTTAATTAATAACTATTGTAACTATAGTGAAAAAATAGGGTGGTTTGCATCAATATTAGACATAACTGGTTGAAGACTGTACCACCTCAGTCAACCGTGACTATGGGACCTGTAAAGCGCCCGAAATGTCGGTTTGTTTGAAAAAACAAATATAGGCGATTTAAATCCGGAAAAATAGTTTCATTCACACTATATTGTCACTCAAATACTCATCAACAGTGTAAGAACACTTTTTAATCAACAGACTTGACAATTCCCTCCTAAACATAACCAAGGAGAGGATTTTTAACCATTGTGGCAGTTTGTTATAGAGTTTAGACACCACATGTTCGTTGAGTCTTCAAGCTAATCTCCTGAAAAAATGCCATTTTGCCGACGTGGCGTGGTTACACCAGGTGCCGTACCATGAACTCTTATTGCGATTCAACTTTGTACTTACACAAGTCTGTTTCGCTTATTCGTACCGTCTTAAAAACGATCACGTCAACAGCATTTACGCCAACGCTAAAACCAAATCCTAAATTAATCCGCCTTTGAAATCTATAGCATTCATTCCTTTTTCGTGCCATGACGTACTTATTTGACATTAGTTGATCCAATGTTGGTTCGCTGTAATGTCATAAAATTCGGCTCAAAAATAGTTACTCAATTAGCATTGAGTATTTGAGACGATTAAATTGAGACGTTTTGCTATTCTATCAAACAATTTTTCATTTATTTAGAGGGTTTACCTATTTTTTTTGAGGATTTACATAATTGTTTATCAGTTAAAACGTGTTGTAAGCTGTTGATTAATAGTAAAAAATCATTAGTGTAACTAACACGCAGCGAACACACGTACATAACTTTACGCCCTTTTCCCATCGCGATAACCAGAGACGTTTTAAGAAGGCGATAAGTATTGAATGCATTTAGTTTCAAATCAATATCGATCTTGATGGACGTTCCCTAGTATCGGTATTAAGATCACGGTTTCTTCTTACAAAAAAGTTAGTTGGTTGTTATAACACGAAATGCTATTGTGCCGATAATTATGTTTTGAAGTTGACCAGTTTTTACTTACACAAATAATGTGTACTTGTGAGAAATGTGTAGGAAAAACAAAAAGAACTAGCGAAGTTAGCGAATGAATAACATATAGGTAACTACACCGACAATTCCGGAGCACCTTTGTACTTTGTACTTTGTACGCATATTCGCTACGCTGCGGTTTCATAAAATGGAAGCATTGGGTGTAACAAAGCCGTATCACGTAAAAATGAGAGTCGAAAAACTTTTAAATAAAGTCATAATGTCTTTTATCTTTTTATAACTGCGGTTTGGGTGTAATTTGTGGTTGTTTATGTGTGTCCATGGCACCCGCGATACAAGGTTTCCCTAGTTCGGGGCTATGAATGTGTGGTTATTATTTAATAAATAGGAAATTACACCTTGGTAATTCGGAAAATGTCATAAATATTATGTCATAAAATATTTATAATATGACTCTTATATATTTTATTATTTATTTGTCCCATAATTTAGCTAAAATATTCAGGTGTTATTATTATTTTAAAACAATGAGAAACATTTGACTTTTTTTCCCTCGTGTTTCCCGCCCTTTGTCGCATCAAACTAAATTCGAGTCTCCGAGGCCTCAGAGACGCTCCAGGTTGAGGATGCGCATGGTGGTTGAAATCACTCGTTTCAGACATTTAAACTTAATTATTTTTAAACTGCAAGCCGTAACGTACGTACTAGTCCCCCGATGATGGAAAAGTGAAGGCGAGTTTACTCGAGGATCTGAATTTTTTTTTCCTTCCAGATCAACTGCTCCACGTTAAGTGGTATAAGGAGACCACGCTCCTCGGCGATTCGTCCGATCCTCACCACCTGCTGCCGCCACGGTTCAGGATGAACACCGACTATAGTCTCCAAATCTCGCCTCTGATGGCTGAGGACACTGCTAATTACTTTTGTGAAGTGAGTAACCATCCACACCCAATTCTAAGTTAGGTTCCACTACAGGGCGAACCATTGAGAGATGTTGCTATTAAATATTCACATATGTACGTACAGCCACAGGGATTATAACCGTGTACCTCTGATGATTAAAGAGCGTTCTTGAAATGAAATGAAATTTTTTCAATTATTTGCTTAAAACATGGTGTGTATTGTACATTAAGCACTCATTTGATATCAACGTTTATCTAAAAAATCAGTCAATTTGTAATAATTTTTGTCTCTAAGAACAAATTATTTGGTAACGTTTTAATGTCTTTTGGTAGAGCATAATAAATTCGGATACACATGCCATTACATTGATGATTGATTTTTTTTGTAATAAGACAATCTGGGTTTATTATTGTACACCAACGTTTTCCACTGCCTTACAAATTTCTTTCTTCACACAGTATCATTTTCAATGTCATTTTCATGTCAATTTCATTTTACAATATCTTCCACTGCCTTTACTAAATGTTGTATAACGTGATAATAGCATTTGTATCACTGTCTCCTGCTTTCTTCTACGTAGACCGATTACGAGTGTGTGTTTAAAAAAAAAATTGGCTTACACTCAACCTCACGCGGTTGACGTGAAGATGTCGACGAGGATCCACTACGTTTGACTAAAGTACGTGTAAGTATGCTACGATACCGTGGTCTCAGGTTCATGTCCTGCCAGGTCGAAGAATTTTTTCTTTGTATCCTATCTTTGTATTAATAATTATAAAACAAGACTGTTCATTCTGCATCCGTGGCCGAATGGTTACCATACTGGACTGCCACGCAACATCCTGCGTTCGATTCTTGGGCCGGGAGAAATATTTTTTGGCCAACATTTATATCTCTCGTGAGTTTGAGTGTAATTTGTGGTTGTCTATGTGTGTGTCCATGGCACCCGCGATACAGGGTTTCCCTAGTGCGGGGCTATGAGTGTGTGTGTTATTATTATACTATATTATTCTGATCTTAAAAATGTCCAAGAAATTATCGAGTTCTTAGGTTTTCGCGATTGTTACATATAGGAAATGAAACTATTTTTCCGAATTTAAATCGCGTATATTTGTTTTTTCAACCACGGGACCTGTACAGACAGGTCCCGTGGTCACGGTTGACTGAGGTAGTACCACAACAACAAACAAATATACGCGATTTAAATCCGGAAAAATAGTTTCATTTCCTATCCAAGAAATTGTTCATCCTTAGAAGCAAAACCACCGGCGAATTCTCGGAATTACGGCCAGGGGGTTTTATTTTTTGTAAATAAGGAGAGAAACGAGCAGACGAACCATTTTACACGAGGTGGTCATCGTCGCCCATGGACATTTGCAACATCATATGAGTTGCCTATGCGTTGCCAGTCTATGAGAGCCCTGTAAACACGCTTTTTGAAGAACTGTACGTCATAGCGCAAAGTAAATACTTCCGGGGGAAGATCATTCCACACTTCGCAGGTTCGAGGAAGAAACGAACGAGATGCCCGCGTAGTCTTACAATGCCAGGCATCTAACACGTGGGGATGGACTCTACTCCTTTGGCGGGAGGTGCGATGGTAGAAACGAGACGGAGGCACCAGTTCGAAAAGTTCCTCGGAACACAGAGCCAACGCCTCTCCGTAGGCGAAGGGGCTCCATTTACTACGAAATACGAAACAACGAATCATTTTTGTTTCGTTTCGCCCGAAAAGAGCCTCCCCAAACGACGTACCATTCCTTTCTTGTGTCTGGCGCATCCTAGGCAACAATCGGCGGATACCTTACGCCCATTTGCAAATTTGTCATGTCTACTGTATGCCGTCATAAAAAGAAAGATTCGCCCAAAGGTTTAGCTTCATACAAATATGTATCTTCACACAAAATTCTAACAATAATGTTCTGTGCTTCGCTTTTGACTGTCGGTGTTTTCAAAAATAAAACTTCTTAGGAGGCATGAAAAACGTATTAAAAAATGTAAATTACCTATTCATTCAAAAACAGAAGAATTACTAGTCTAACAGTCACAAGTCATATGAGATAAATAGAAGGAGTTAGTATTTTTTCCGTTTAGGCGTAATTTAATTTTTACAACCACTCTGTTGTCGTATTATTTATTTAAAGAGAATATGGGCTAAGGGCATCATAACACTTATCGACAAAGATTCAAGACGGTCAAAAAAACCTTTATATTCAATATAAAAAGAGTGAAAAAGACGCGCGTTTCGCGTCAACGATCCTAAAGGAAGCGGAAGGCGCAACGTCTCTTTCGCACTTATGGCACGAACATAAAGCTTTTTTAGACAGGCTCAAACCAATTCCGCGTTAATAAGCGTGGTGGCTCCCTAACACTTATTTGCATTATTATTGAGGAAGTCACCTGAATAATATGCATTATTATGATATTAAACATCGTTACTTAACCTCTCGTGTTCTGACAAATCCAATATGGCGGATTATTGCAATCATCATGACGTCATCAATGACAATCCCAGGGTTGCTAGCCTATAAACACCTAATTTTAATTAAATACCTTAAATTGTAACACGATTTTTGTTTCTGGGTCATCATCATTTATTTGTAATTGGTTCTAACATAAAAACATGAAACCATTTTATTTCACTGCAAATCTTCGCTCTTGTGATCAAAAAAGTTGAAATTTGCGTACTATACAGAAAAGAAATACAAATTATCGGGTTTCTCATTGACTTACAAATAAATGGACGACGGGTCTAATACAAAAACCACGAAAAAATGTCCCAAGTCAACCTATTTAAACGTAGTGACATGTAAAGGAATATGAAAAAGCTAAAACGTTAGATTTAAATTGTAATGTCATCGCAGTACTGTCTAATTTTGCTTGCTTCGCTGTCCGTCGAACAAACGAAGACTAAAGCGTGAATGACGCTCTGTATACGATTTTAACGTCCTATAAGTTCGGACACTTTTTAGCGCGGACCCGACGTCCATATAATTGTAAGTCAATGGAACCTTATATTTAAAATCTCACTCACAAGCACGCACAAGTAATTTCATTGCTTTGTAAGTAACATTATTTAATTTCCTATTATTTAATAAGTAATGTTAAATTGGTTTTAGGAATTTTCTCGTCTCTATTAAGTTTTCGCATATAATAAATATTGTACATCTTTTCTTGAATTGGTTACCCACGAGACAGGCTTCGCCTAGTGTAGGAGCCAGTGTAACCGGTTTAGAAAAAGTTTAAGTCTTAAACATATGTATCCCATAAAGTGTAATATAATGTATCTCACTTCCATGGCTGTTATCTGGAATTTAACTGTATTTGTTTTTATGTACAAATAAATTACTAAATTACTTACTAAAATCTATAGTATCTTTCAACCAAAATTCTATAAATTGATGATATTAGTAGATTTACGAGATTATGTAAATACAATATAAGTGTTATAGCTATTTAAGTACCAACAATGTGACTACCATAAAAGCAAAGTGTCCAGGGTATACATACAGCTATTCTTTTCTTCTGTACACCGTTTAGGTTCTGGGGTTTCTCTCAGTTAAAAGTTTACGGAGACTGGTATCATGACTGTGGCATCACAGTACATTTACTCAAATATTTTGTATGCCCGTAAAAATATACACAATTTCGTTAAGAAAGAAGATATCCATAATGTTACCTTTAGAACTAAGTCCAAACCCACACATGGTACCACGATTTCGGTTAACTAAGGTAAACGATTATTTTACGGGGAACTGTATACGATTTTACAATAAGATTCCAGCATTTAAGTTTATCAATACTTAAGTTTAAAACTTACATTAAAAAATATTTTAATTAAAGTGTGATAATTACACAATTGTAGGCTACGTGTTAGATAAAGGTGTGTGGAAAGACAACATGACTCTAGATTCCACACAAATGTGATTCAATGTGATCATTAAGTTTATTTGAAAGAGCAATCCCTTGAGTTTCTTGTTCGTTCTTCTTAGGGAAGTCGGCTCAGTGAACGAGGAGTAGCTTAAAAAATGACGTTTTCAAGTGTAGTTTTTTTGTTACATGGAATAAATGGTCCTTCGACTTTGACTTTTCTACATACATGCTTTTCTATTATATACAAACCAATGCCTACCTACTGTCAAATCAAAAACAGAACCTTTTTGAAAAAATTATTACATAGTGCATTTAACAATGACACTTAGTTCTGAATAATATATTATATGTATGTACAATGTATGTAAAACAATAAGTAAATGCGAATGAATTTACAAAATACAGTCATTATAATGCCACATTATATAAAGGAAGTATGACATTCCTCATGATTCACTCTCAAATACGATGTGGTTTTGAAGTAATTGTACCTACTCCGATGTGTTAATATGCGATGAAAAGTAGTGATGAAAGAGACTCAGTCTTTTAAGGCATTTTATAACGACTCGACTTAATTCGAGTCCTGTAAAATGGTTTGCTGGACTCCATTCTAAAATTAAGACTGGGGTTCGAGTTTTTATTAAAAGACTCAATCGTTACACTAAAAGACTCAAAAGACTTAAACGACTAGAACGACTTGAAACACATATACGACTCGAGTTGTTTGCAAAGAACTTATACCTATTTTATGTCCTATTAAACCCGAAGTTTCTAAATAAAAATGACAAGTAGTATGTAGTAAATAATCACGTTTATTTACTTATAATAAAAATCGTAAAATAAATACCTTGTGGGTAGAAATTAAATCACGCCGTACGGCTCATGGCATCATGGCTTTTATGGGGAACTGTATACGTTTTTACAATAAGATTCCGGAGAATATATTAAGATTATCATTCCTAAGTTTAAAACTTACATTAAAAGTATTTTAATTGAAAAGTCATATTACAAAATTGAAGAGTATGTATTAGATATAGAAGTATGGAAAGACAACAAGAGTCTAGATTCCACAAAAATATGATTCAAAGTGTATTCCATAGCATTTAAGTTTATTTAACAACAGCAATCCCTAGAGTTTCTTGCTCGTTCTTCTC